TTAGATATAGCGATATACCACACCCTTCAAACAATATTAGGAGTGGTGATTCGAGCTGTGAACATATATTTTGTGATTTACATCCTCACAAAATCCAGTATTGGTGTCTCAGTTCTCACTTTGGGGCATAGTTGATATTGCGCATTATGGAGGATATCGCGGGTACCATTAGAAGCTAACTTTCGAAGCTGTTTTTTTACGTGAATTTTCACTCTTAAGATGTCCCTTCCGTTGGGCTTCGAGTACGTATAGAAAGGACCCTTGACTGCCTTCTAGGAAGCATGGGCTTGCACATCCCACAAGAGAGGGTGAGTGCAGTGGGGGTAGATTTGACAGCGATGATATAATAGGATGTATTATTAAATGTGGTGTACAAAGGAATAGTATGTTTTTGATAATAATCTAGAAAAAGTTTTATTTCACAATATCATATGTAAATTAGTAAGTAGCAGATAATGGGTGGAAGAAAGTAAGAAAAGCAAGAAAGAGGAAAAATGTGTATATACTAAACTCTCTGAACTACACAATGAATACTTCATTAATTCCTACAGCTCGCTTGCTCTCATGTGTAAAGTATGTGTATCTATAGCTAACTTAAGTCGATAAATGAGAACCTTGCAGTATATCTTATGATACCACACAGCTGCTAGTTGAGCTATACAATAGTATGAGTAGATAGGAAGCAAAAAAGTGACAAACATGGAATAACTTGACCTAATAGGCGTGAGAAGCAAAAAGGAGATTAAATAAGTATGTGTGTAGGGAGAAGGGAGAATAAAAAAGTACAATGAGAGTTCAGATATATAGAAAGTGAATAAAATAAAGGCCTAACAATACAACAATAAGAAATGAAAGTTAGAGAAAGGGGATGGGGTTAGCTGAAGGTACCAGTGAAATAGAAATCTGTTCCAAGTGAACAATTCAAAGGCTTGGCATCTGCAATAAGCTTGTGACCCTCTTTTAGAGAACTGCGACTAGCATAGGGTTCCATTTCATCGAGTTTGTTCCCCTACTAATGGGGTATAGTACACGGGGTGTATCCCGGAATATCAAAACTGGCGAATCCCTTTGGGAGAAGGTTTGGAAAACTGGGACGGCTTGGTGGAAAAGAGCTCAGTTAATTGCAGGCTTGCTGCATATCTCGGAACATTAGTCTGTTCCCGCAGCATCCTCACGACCTCTTCATATTTATTCTTAGCAGCCCATAAGAGTGATGTCTGGTCAAATAGGGTGTCAGCGGTATTTGGATTAACGTCTTTCTGTTCTAGCAGCATGCTCACCACCCCCTCATGTCCATTCTCAGCAGCCAGCGAGAGTAGCGTCCGGCCACACATTCTATCAGCGGTATTAGGATTGACGTCCTTCCGTTCTAGTAGCATCCTCACCACCCCCTCATGCCTATTCCCGGCAGCCCAAGAGAGTGGCGTTCAGCCATCTCTGTCATCAGCTACGTTGAGATTAATGTCGATCCGGTCTAGCAGCATCCTCGCCATCTCCCCATGTCTATTCTCGGCAGCCCATGAGAGAGGTGCTCGAGCATTCTGGGTGTCAGCTATGTTGGGATTGACCTTGTTCTGTTCCAGCAGAATTCTCACCTCCCCCTCATGCCAATTCACCACAGCCCACAGGAGCGGTGTTTGACCATATCTAGTGTCAGGCACGTTTGGATTGACGTCGTCCACCACTAGTAGCATCTTCACAACCCCTTTATGTCTGTTCCCGGCAGCCTATGAGAGAGGTGTTCACTCATCCTCAGTGCTAGCTATATCGTGGTTGACATCGTCCCTTGCCAGTAATATCTCTACCACCCCCTTAAGCCCACTCACAGTAGCCCATGAGAGGGGCATTCGGCCATATAGTATATTGGGAGTATTAGGATTGATGTCACTCCATCGCAGCAGCACCTTCACCACCCCCTCATGCCCCCTCCTAGCAGCCCATGAAATTGCTGTGTTGCCATTGGAATCTGTTGCCTGCACATCCCATATATTCATTTCCAATAAAGCAACAGTTATCTCTACACACCCGAGGAATGCAGCACTGTGAAGCTCTGTAAATCCCTTAGGGCTGCCTCTCCCATCAAATAGCCGCACTCCAAAGTCCATGCTATGCAATAGCAATATTTTCGAAGATATGTAGTGATCATATCCGTTGAGCAGTTCTAACGCAAGAACTTCACACGTTCTGTAGTTTCCCATCTAGTATGTGTACTCCAATAACAAGAAGCATACTCGACAAAAGGGACAGCTGTTGGGGTGGAACAAAGAATGGGTGAAAGGCCTGTTACTTAGCGAAAGTTGAGGTAGGTCAAACAGACCTACGCAATTGTTGAGTGGGGCTTAAGGAACATGTGGGGATCACGGGAGAGGTACTCTTGCAGAGTGTAGTGAACCAAGCGGATGGTAGACGAGGACTTCTCGACCGTAACAAGCCCCAGAGAGCATGCTAGGAGTGTTTCTATCCCAGGAATATTATCGATATTCAGGTCAATAGATCCTTCTTCTACCCCCAAAGCATAGCACAACTTGTCAACAAGTAATGGCCGCTCCGAATGTGATACTCACATTAGAACTTTCATACTGAGCTTCGACCTACCTCCTTGCTGCTCCTTCACCCGCGATAATTTCGCGGCGTATGCCAGGTCTAGACTCACTCCCGCTCTTGTCTGGTCAAGCTTTTTCCTTCTCTGGTAGAGCATAATCTCTCCCAGGATCGCATCAATTTTTAGGGAAACAAGAAGGAAACTAGGCATCATTGTTAGTGTATAATAGCTCAGCCTTGTATTCAAGATATGCTTAATCTTCTTTCATACCTTCCTGACATATTCTCCAGAATGGTTTGCAAAATATCCACTCGCAATTCGTCATTCATTGCGCTGAGTTCAGTGTCACGGTCTAACCTCATCTCCAGATACCCCCTGATACTATCCTCTGTAGGACTAACAGGTATCCTAACTGCCATACTAAAATATTTGATTATTTCATCCTCGATATGGTATCTCCCGGTGAGGAATATCCGCGTATTTGGGGACACAGAAATCATTTTTCGCAGCGACAAAGGAAGCTCCCGCTGGTGCTTCGGAGCGGATTCGTCTAAGGTGTCGATGCAGATAAACACTTACTCCAGCGATGTAACCGTTTTCTCCAGCATATCCACCATTTAGGAAGTAGGAGACTCCGACCACCAAACTCCCTTTTGGCCTTCTGAAATGCCTTCTGAAATGCCTCCCGTATATGCTCCGACATTCCTCTTCTATTGATAAGTTGCTTGATTATCGCTCCCAACATACTTCTAGTGGACTGTTCCTGCTGGGCAGCGAAATCGAAGTAGAGTCCCACCACAGCAATATCATTTCCTTCGACCCGATCGCACAGGCTATCGATAACTAGAGAGCTATTATTTGTCAATTGTCAGTAAGATCCGCATCGCCTCTCTCCAGAGGTCTTCCTATCATACATAAGATATGTTTTTCCTACCCCCAGACCCCCGTAACAGTAGAGCATCAGCTCTACGCAACCATACTCCATATCGCTCCATTTTTTGAATTTGTTGGTTTCAAGTATCCAGTTTCCCACACTATCGAATCGGTTGGTTCGCACACCTTCATACCATTACTATGGTTCAAGTGGTGAAAGCCACTACAGAATTTTATTCCTCTTAGCCTCTGTTTCTGTATTGAAGCTAACAATATTGCTGTGATTGTAGTACGTCAATACGTTAAATGAGTTTTTATTACCGGAGAACCACTGCTGCCCTGGTGATATCTGTGCTACAGTCTGTTATCTTGATTCCTTTCGGAGAGATGGGGGGAGAGTGCTCAGGTGCGATGAGAATCTGGCTTTTCTTGGAGTTCGTGGGATTCTCCAGGACCTGAGGGACAGGGTGTGGTCACTTAGAAGGCTCTGGCGTTGCACAAGTAACTCATGCGCTGGCCCATTATTTATCAATATCGCCAAGTATGATACTCGCAGATCAGCCTTGTATCTCAGCACAAAAAATGGACCAATAGACATCAATTGTCTAAGTAAGAAACCCCATTTACAGTACCTGTACCCGCATTGCGCCACTCATAACACACCCATACACATCATACTAGCACGGCGAGATAGCCGGGGTTTTTACATTGGCTTTACTTGCCCATGGAAAGCAATGCCTCACATATGAAAGCCTGGCTCTCACTGCCCCCTTCTGTTGTAAGGAATATTCCAGTACCCCATTCAACTAAAGATTCTCACCAAGTTCCAACAAGATAAAATGGTTCCACTACCAACAAGAATTAGTAGAGAATCAGTTGAGGAAGAGAAACCTCCCTTATTTCATCCGAAAATAATGTATCCTTCCAGAGCCGAGAGTGTTCTTAATCTGTACGAGAGAGGACAAACCCCAAACGTATACTCCAGTACCATACAAGATACAATGGCCAGATCGAAATCGCGGTAGCGGTGGAACAATAAAAGAAAAAATCCTTCCATGTATCATAAGGAATGGCTACTCCCAATTTAGGATCAGCAACAGTGCATATTTCCGAAACCATTCCAAGCCATCATGCCAAGAAATAACCGCACCTCAACCGCAGTCCCCACCGCACGACCAGAGGAGGATTAACCCCCCGCGCCAACTAGATACTAATACCGCGGGAATGAATGCCCACCCCGCCGGCAGGTAAATTAGACTAGACCTTGATTGTTGCTTCTCCAGAGTTCGAGGTTTTTATGACTATTATCCGCCAATCGTATTGTTAGGGCGAATTCATTCTTTCATTAATCAGTACCACGATCATTTGGTGTTTTTCGGGGGGGGGAGGGGGAGGAATTTTAGTGATCACGGTCGGAATGTCACCGGCGGGGAAGGTACAGGTATGTTTGAGGACGCCGGTGTAATGGTACGATGAGGTATCACTTGAGTCAATGACGTCCGAATGATAATCAATGAATAAGGCACATTTTTATCTATCAATACTCCTACAAACAAATCAGAGCGGACAGCAAAGACAAAGGAAACCAAGGGAAACCGAGCCGAGTCAAGATTCCAATCCCATGACTAGCGAACAACAATGCAAGCGAATAAAAATGCAAATGCAAAAGTCAGAAACAATTTCCACTTCCCCACCTCATCTACACAGTAGAACGGAATAAAATACAACTATCCACCTCCATGGCCAGCTTGGATTAAGCGAACGAGGACTTACAACCCACTAGGCGCAGCCCCCGACGGAGCGGCGGAACCGCTGGGAGAACCGCCAGGCGCGCCACCTATGTTCCCTCCCTCGTTAGCAACCCCCCCATGTGCGGTCCACGTCGCAGCGCTGGAGACGGAATAATCAGCGGAAGCATCCAAGCCGACGGTGATCCACGCCAAGATCCCATCTTCGACCTCATCTCCTAAAAGTGCGTATTCCATAACGGGATCCATGCTGTCCGCCTCCTCCGCCAGGATGGTGTCATTCGCGTTCGGCGTGGCCTCCTGCTCGTTCGTGCTGTAGGGGGCGACAGCGGAAACGGCGGAGATGAGGGATTGGTCGAAGAAGAATTGTCCGACGTGCGCGTTGTGGCCTCCCATGAGGGTCTGGTTGCGGTGGAGGGTGGCATTCACATGTGCGAGGATGTGCACGTGGGTTGTGCGTCCGGTGTAGTGGCCGGGGAAGATGCTGAGGACTTGAGCGACGCCGTCGGGGGAGGTGGGGCGAAGACCGCGCGTGAATGTTTTGTTCTGAGAAGTCAGCTTGGGAATTGGAAGATGGGAGGGGGAGGGGGGGGGGTGTACGATGTTAGTGGCGTCAGAGGAGTCGCCATTACCGCTCGCTATGACTCCGCTGTACACGCCCGATGCGTTTGCATGCCACCAGTCCAGGTACAGGTTCGGTATGGGCTCGCAGGTGTTTATATCGACCACTTGGATGTCGGCCCAGAGGTCTATGCCCGGTTCGCCGTCGCGGACATCGTGGCGGACGAGCTCTCCATCGACATCTACCCCCAATCGTTATCAGTCCTCCTTCCTCCCATTGTGAACCGATATCGTGGGCGAGTGTACTTACAGTATGGGCCCTGCGTAACCTCCGGCTGAAGCACGCATTTAACATCCCCGGAGAACAATACCCCAGTATCAATATCCAAGGTAACTCCCGTGAGGTTGGTCTCATGGTCAGTGCTCAGTACGCTCTCGACGCTTCTCTTCCTGACGATGGCGCGCTGCTGGCGAATCTCGTCGGCGAGGGCGCTACGCCGGGCAATTGCGCGGGCCTCTAGGTCCCTCGCTTTCACCTTGTCTTTGCAAGCGGCTATGGAACGCTTGGAGTAGGAGAGGAATTCGGCGCGGCGGGCAAGGGTTGCGGCCTCTGCCTCTTTGTGCTCCCCCGGATGGGCGCTCACGGCGGAGGAGAAGAGGGTGAGGGCGGTGAAGATTGTTGAGAAGTGGACCATTTTGATAGGGGTTTCTGGAGTTTTAAAGGATTGAATGGGGAGGTATGGTAAAGAGTGATGCAAAGCCGAACTGCTATCTGGAGAGATGCATTCCAAAGTAGTGGCAGGTTGAAGGTTTCTTATATACACTTTTCATTGCAATCTTCACTTTCACATTCACCTCTACCCTCTACCCGGTGGCGTGGCCAATAGCGAGCAATAGTCTGTTTCAGACAGGCGCAGTTAACTACACTGAAGGTGCTATTTCCAAGCCCCAATCGACAGCCTACGTATGCCAGCCGAACCAAAAAAAAAATTCCCCACTATCAAAATCCCCATTCCCCAACAACCCATATCCGCGTACAAAAGTACCGGTAGTTGTACAGTACCACTATAGAACCCCAAACAGGTAACACCTTAGAGCAAACTCCACACACTTACTTAGTACCCTGCAGAAATGATCCCCCGAGCAACCGCAACCGGGAAAAAGGACAAAACGACCCATCTCCTACCGCGCAACAATAAATTTATCAAGTCCAGTCAGCACAATAACTGTAAAACCCCCTCCCCCGAAGACCCCCTAATAATCGACAACCTTGTCATCGCCTCCACCAATCGTAACCCACGCATTAGTCCTGCCCGCTCCAACCCGTCGCTGCCAAGAAATAAACGCGTACCCCCCAAGCTCCAACAACGGCAAGGTATAATTACTATAATAGGGCAGATGAGAAGGAATAAAGAGGAAGAACAGACGGGGTCTACGTATACTTTGTTGTACAATTACCATCACGATCCGGGTATAATCATGCTATGCTGACTGAACTCTGGCTCGGTGAAACCGCTCGATGTGTACTAGTGCACTAGTTACTAGTACAGAGGTAGTCTTAGACTCCGCGGATTAAAAAATTGGCTAGTACCGGTAAGAGTACTTTGGAGTACTAGTACACCCCTTGGCGCTATTATGAAAGAGCGTGGCGGAGGAGGTTGGCGTGGATATGGATGTACGAGTACGAGTAATCTATTAAGTGTGGTATATATTTGGACAATTTGGTGAAGGGGTGGGAGGGCTGGGTGAACGCGCAACTAGTTACTAGTACAAGGACTGGCTTGATTAAGTGTGTGTCTCTTTTTTTCTTTCTTTCTTTCATCGAATTCTACTAGTATAGTGAGGGGGTGCAGGGAGGTTCGGTAAGTGGAATCCTTTTTTCCCGATGGAGGTTGTAGTGATATGCACGGAAAGGAATCCACTCACAGTACCGTTATGCAAGTCTATGTCGTTCCCTCAGGACATGAACGGGTCCCCATCGTGAATCAATATATCGCACTCCAAGTACTCGTACATAGGATATTTTGTGCTGATGCGTATACTCGAATGGAGCTGGAACATCATCAACCCTATCTACCGTACCCTACCCTACCGTGCTCAGACCTTCCCCCCTCGCATAAAGAGGAAGGGAATATATCCTGCCAGTCCTTCAAAATTATTATTATCATTATCATCATCATGCCGACTCGAGAGCACTTACCCTACCATACCAATACGATATCGTACCTATAGTATGATACCTACTCTACCGGCACTGCATAATACCGATACCGGCAACTGTACCATGCTCGTATGTCCGGAGCCCCTCTCATCTCAAAGTCTAGTATGATACGATACGATACTAGTACGAGTACAGCATGATAGATGGAACCCCTAGAAATACCGACCCCGAAAATTATAAAAAAGAAAAATATGGAAACATCACGTCCTAAAGCTCCACTTTTCAAACTTCCCCCCCCCCCCCATAAAAAAAAAAAGAAGAAAAAAAAAAAAACATCTCTATACCAATACCGGTAGACATGATAAGTCCACAGTAGGTAACACAGCACCAAAACCCAAGAGACAAAGAGACAAAATTAGACTGGGGACCCGATGACGTCCCCTCCCCTCCCTAGTATAGTACCCATACCAATTATCGTTGACTATCACAAGCACGATTGAACCCGCCAACTAGCCTTCCCCCCCCCCACCTTTCCCTGAAAACACGTGATCTCGGACATTCCTCCAGAAAGAAACCAAATTGCCACGCAATCAATCCATCAGGAAACAAAGAATAATCGAGCGAGTCATTATGAAGCACTCGTTTTGTAGGTCGGGTATGTGGGGTTTGGACGTGTTTTTTCTTCTTTTTTTTTCGGCCCCACATGCCCTATTCGAGGTCTCACTTCGTCGAAGCTCTTATACTCGCTTGCTTGTATGATAGATTTACTTGAACGGAATAGACACATCCTCGGAGAGGGACAAAGGACAAGGGACAAGGGACCTCTAGCGCACGGTCGTCACGCTAGAAATTCCAACTTGTTTATCGGGCGGTGATATAAAAAGATACCTGTCAAGGGGTGGGTGGGTGGATATGGGAAGGACGACTCGCCACAGATCCCTTGCGGAGGGGGGAGGGGAGTGCGATAGATTGAGTGCGGGCAGTGCTGGCTGGCTGGCTGGCCGGCGGGTTGGGATGAGATCACTTGCTGGGTTAGCGATTAATATCCGCTACGGACCTACCATGCTCTTGCTACCGGGAGTTTGTAGGAGGTGTTGGTGGGCAGTGATTCCTACCGGGGGGTGGTAGACTACGAAAACCAATTAGTTTCCCCCGGCGCTCAGAGGGTGACGTCCATTTAGGCGGTTGCTTGGTGGGCTTATACATAGTAATATTTTTACTGCATGTGCACACCATGTGTGTGTGTATGATAACTTTAATAGTCTAAGTACTCGTAGTGGTGGTCAAATTAACTTAGAGCTGACCACTTCACGATATGCTCACCGCACCAGCAAACCATTTCACATTGACAGGAAGAAAAGAAAAGAAGAAAATAAGGGGAAAAAACACAATTCTCTATGCGAATAAACATGTATAGTATAGTACCCTATGATACCCTATCTTACAAGATTTAATAACAAAAAACTTGTCGCTACATCTGTAAACACCTACACAACAAACCCCGACTTCGATGGCATTAATTCCACAACCTCGCTGTCCCATCCGCCCCAGCAGAAAACAGCCAGCACTCTCTCGGATGCCATTCCACATCCAACACCCCAAGCGCCTGCTTAACCACATGTCCTCTCAGCACCTTCAGCGGCACGATCAGCGCATTCTCCATGAGGTCGCCAAACACTTTCCCATGGAAAACTTGCACCGTGCCATCATCGCTCGCAGAACAGAACAGCGGCAAGCCACCCTGGTGGTACTTGACGCTCCGGATGGCCTTCTGGTGGTACCGGAGCGTTCTATACGGCTTCGTGGAGAGGTCCAGGTCGTGCCAGAGGAGGCGCTTATCGTACGATCCAACGATGAGGTTGTCGCCGCCGCTGTGCACGTCAAAGGACGAGATCCATCGGGAGCCCGGTTGCAGCGTTTTGGTTAGTTCTTGCTTTGCCAGGTCGTAGACCCGGATGTAGCGTTGCGTTGCTACGAATAGGATCGGGCGGAAGGGGTGGAATTCCACGCGTTGGACTATACCTTTTGATTTGCGGAAGGGGGATTGGGACTGGTGTTTCGAGAGTTGGTGGATTGCGACGGCTCGGTTTTGGCCTTGCCCAGTGGTAGCAATAAGTTAGCTTCGGGTCGTTGCAATGTATGTGAGGGTGGAAGGGGTAGACTACCCTCCGGTGAGACCGTAGCAAAATAATCACCACGCCTATGCCAGGAAATGTGCTTTACGGAGATTCGCACTGTGACTATTGCAGCGACCCCAACTTCTGCAAGCTTGTCCGATGGTTTACTCCATTTGGCTGGGGGCTCCTTCTTTAATGAATTTTTCTTTACAACCTCCGCGTATCCCCAACCTACCGAGAGGACCTCTTTACCGGCAGCCTCCGTCTCGTGATCGAATATCGGGGGCATTATCAGGTACACGTCGTCGCCTCTATATTGATTGGAAAAAAGGGAAAAAAGAAAGAGTCAGCCAATGTTCGGGGTCCAATTAAAAGGGAGAGAAAGGTGAGCATTTACGCCGCCGCTGCAAGAATCCCTGCTTCTCTCCCTGGCCTCCATTTCACTGTGTTCACAGACTCATCCTCCCCCAGCTTGACCTTCCATACCTCTCTGCCGGTTAGAACTTCCCAGATCCTAACAGTCCCATCATCACCGCCCGTGGCCAACCATACTCCACTAGGGTCGATACCAAGCGTTCGTACCTTCCCCTCGTGGCCACGGTAGATAGTAGCAGTGGTAGTTGGGAATGGCTTCAACTCCTGTGGGCTTGGCAACTTGGGAAGTAAACTCTCAGGGTCGATATTCAATTTATTCCTACGCACTCTAGGTGCAAGGTAGAGATCTAGGCACCTCTCGAACCGCTCCCTAACGAACCCATCGTATCCAGGGACCAGTCTCAGAGCGGAGTATTTCCTCGGAAGGTAGTCCTTATCCCGGTCCTCGGGGTCGAGCTCCTCCCACGCTTTCTTCTCGTCTTTCGTTGGCAGGTACTCCGCCGGTGGGTTGTATGATTCGTCGTGCGTTGGCGGAGGTAGCTTCGGTGCAGGGATGTTCATGATGTGATCTGGTCGGGAGGGTGCGTCGTCTGCCCAGATATCGTAGAATTGCGGTTCCTCTTCTTTGGGCTTGTTGGGGACTATTCTACCCTCGCGGATGGCTTTAACGATCTTCATTACCCGCTTCGCTTCGTGTTTCGATGGGATGAAGCGGCGTTTGGGCTCGGGCGCAGCGCTCAGCGGCATTACTTCGGTTTTGGATGTAAAGTATTCCACCATTGGCTTTCACATATATTAGTGCGCAGCCCCGGTGGTGCCATGGTGGGGAAACTTACAGCATAGGGATCATATCCGTCCACCGGCACCTCTCCCATTTGTATTTTCCTGACCATTTCCAGCTCCTCCTGAGTGAGCATCAAGTCACCGCCGGTATTCCGATCCGTCATGCCAGTCCATCCCTTCGGAACCTCAATACTGTCGAGAAGTGCATCTAGCGCAGCACCCTTGGCCGGGCGCATTAACTTCTTGCCATTGATATCGTATCCAATGTGTGGGTACTCGTCGTAGAATTCTAAAGGAATATTCCCGATAGTATTTGCCTCCTCGACATCTGTGTCGTCGGAATCATACACCGGGTCAATCTCGGGATACATATATCTAGGATTCCCAGTAGAGTCGAGCACAATTTTCGGCTCTTTCTAGCCATCTCCGTTGGGGACGTTTTCCTCCCTTTCCCGCTCCTCGTCCGAAGAAGGGACCTCATCGCTGTCAAGTTCCTCCTCCTCATCTTCGTCCTCATCTTGCCCATCTTATTCGTCGTCGTCGCTAGAATCCTCATCATCCTCACTCTGCGAAAGCGTCCCATCTCCTCAATCGACGCCCATTGCGGTAATGATAGT